TTATCATATACGTACATGTATGCACTACTGAAATAACATGTTAGCATACTCCGTTCTTCTGGGGTGCTTTTCCATGAATAATTTACATACAGTTTCAATGTTGATAGCAGTGTCGTAATGATTATGTATTAAAGCTAGAACACTTAGTCTTTCTTCGGTTCGTGTAATTATTGAACCGGTGGAAAGTAGATGCCGAACGTTCACATGAACATGAACTTAGTCGCAGCATTTTTCACATCACAAAAAACGGGGGGGGGAGTCTAACCCCCCAACATTCCCCCTGCTTACGTGCGTGTCTAAGTAAAGGGAATGGGCTATTTTTATTTTATGTTCAGTACTATTTTCATTAGTTATTTTAAACTTTGAATCATTTTATTAATGAATTCAGTATTACAATATGAGTAGTGAATAGGAAGAGACATCTTGGGTCACAACTGTTTCTGTGTTGTTGTTTTTTTTATTAATGACTCTTGATTTCTATGGCTTCTAGAAATTTCAAACCGCGACAAAACACAGCTACCGGCTTTCATAGTTCATTTCTTGAAAGATCTGAGCCGTACTACTGGTGATACTGCTAGTAAAGAGCAGTACATCTAATAGAAGCTGTACGGTACGGGCGAGAGTCGGACTGTGAATTGAAACTTTTTGGCACACCAGCGTGGAGGGGTGAGGGTATTGTGATGGGTTCAGAGGGCTAAGCTGGGACTGCCTTTTTTTTTTTTTTCTTCTCCAGGCATCCCGACGACCGGCGCCTCTCTTCATAAATTTCACAGACTTGACAGCATTTATGCCTTCGTATTAGTAGAATACATAGAGTCGAAAAGGTCTTTCGTTTTTTGTTTTTAAGTTTTATATTTAGCAGTGGAAGTTGTAGAAATCGGTTCGTAGTTTTTGTGGCTAAATGCTGTTAAGCATTTGGTGCGATTTGTAAAAACAAATCGATAACAGATGTGTACGGATTGAAAACACGTTTTCCTATTTTTAATATCCTTTTGCATTTTAGAAAGCTTGCGTAAAAGTATTTTAGTAAGTATGAACTATGGTTGTAACTATTCAGTTAAGAACTACGAAATTGGATCTGAAGCACGCGCATTGGAAAAATGTGATTAAAGAAAGTTTCAGTTAAGCGTTTCAATCGCATTCGTTGTCAGTCATTCTTATTTCTCTTTTCCCTCATTAAATTAATTAATTATACTTAATTATCGTCAGTGGTTTGCATTCGTCTCCAGGGACTCCCTAATTTTTACCTTACAGCTCCGGATAAAGATTATTTTTAATCTGGTCTTTGCTGTTGGATGATACTATCCTCAATGATGATAATAGTCTAGCCGAGTCACACAAACAGCCCCAGGTCGTTTCGCTTGGGTACGAAACAACTCAGTATGATGTCTCTTCTAATGATGAGTACGTATGAGCTTGGAGCTGGCCCTGAAAATGCAGGCTGTTGTCAATTTAGACGCCTGCCTCTGCCCAGTGAAGAACCCTACTAACATGAAATGGTTAAAGCTGGAGGGAACAGCGTGTTTGTCACGGTTTACAAATTACTGTTTCACTGCTTATAAATTCTTTCTACAATTCGTAATGTAATTTTCACATTTTATTATTGTTTTCTCTCGATATGTACGTTTGTTTCACTTGTAATATAGCCAACAGTAACTACTTCTTTTATCATAATCCTAATTTAATCAGTTTATTAACTTCACAAACAACAGCAGATTTTCGGATGTGAGTATAGAGATTGTATTGTTTCTTGGGTCTTCTTTTTCACAGATAGAGTTTGGTTAGTTTGATCGTGTGAAAGAAACTGATAATATTTTACACTAACTCAACTAAACTTATAGTTGGCCGAAGTAGTAAGGATTTATACTTTGAGACGTTTCTTAGCGTGTATAACAACACACATGATGATTGTTCGAGTCTGAGAGTAGGAATATGTTAAAATTATAAGTGAGAACTGTGTTTACGAACACTCAATACGACAAGATTACGAGCTCTAATAAAGTGCTTCAGAAATATGTTAGTAAAATTGTATTCGCACCTAACAAATATTATACGTAGCTACCTTTTGTTGGTAATTGTAAATCTACGCAATGGGCTATCTGTGCCAATAATTATGGCGTGATTTTTCCCAGTAAAGCTTTTTGGAGGAATTTTAACATATTTAATTTGAAATAAAAATGCATTTCAGAATTTTATAAAACTTAATTTACCGGTGGTGGGTGTGACGAGATTTAGTTGGCTGCAAAAAAAAAATAACTACAGGGTATCAGAGACAACAAAAATATCGAATAACCAGTAAGGGGGGTGTAGGTTAAACATTACAATCGATGAGGTTGTTATGGGTCTCGTGAACCCGCAGGCACGAGGGTAAAGATAATACACACACACACACACATATATATATATATACATCCCGTGGAGACACTACGAACAATAAGTGAATTGTGCCCCCGAGAAAGTTATTACAAGAAACTGCAGCGCGTCGAAATTTCTTTCCAGACCGAATAAAAAAAATGTAGATATTTCTTCAGTTGTAGAATTCGCCGGTGTTGTTCTCAACTGAATGGATACAGGTTATTATAAGTTATGAAGAAATATGTATTTCCTTATTACCCGCTATGTGGTTGTTAATTTTTTGAATAAAATTGGTACTTGCAACGAGTCGTGTTGATCAAAAAAAGTCCTGTAAAACGTGTCCAGAATTGATACACTTTACCACTGATAGATAATGTACTATTGTAAGCTATATTTTCAATGTATTAATTTAGATGTTAGCTACATAGCACATGACGTTAAGATAAAAAAAAATATTAAAGTAGACCTAGAAAGTTCACGGTGACGTCAAGAATCTAGTAACTTAAACCGATATCTTAGATATGGATACATGAGTTATAAATACGAGTAAGCAGTTAGGTAGTTGAGTAGTGATAGAGAATGCCTAGAAAGTT